CAACCTACTACCCAGCCTACCATCCAGTCTGCTACCCAACCTATCATCCAACCTACAATCGAGTCTGCTACCCAGCCTACCACCCAGTCCGTCACCCAGCCCAAAGCTGACAAGATCATTCCCAACGTAACTTGGGACGACAATGACGATCGAATCATGATTGATGTTCTCACTTTTGAACGCCAGCCAGCCGACGGAAAACCTATTGGACCTGAGAACGCTACGACCACTCATGGCTTCAAAATTCCGACTTAGGAAGCCTGTGTCACCGCACTTGCAGGGAGTGAAAGGAAAGTTATCAATGGTCTTGTTTACCTAAGTCACACTAAAGAGGTAGGAAACTGCAAGTCCAGGTGGTATGTTGTAAGTTTTTCATAATAATTTCATTTCCTCATTTCTTCAGTTTCTACACTTTCAATTCTATTCCACCACTCTATCCCTCAAGCTGGGAAATTGGGGCGCACTGACAGGTTCAGGCTGCCACCTTCCCAGCTCCTCACGGTTAACCTGATGGTTTTGGGATGGGGATTGACAGGATTCAAGTCCATCCCACCGTGTCTACTCTCAAATGAGTCTTTCTTTGTTTCTTTCTTTTTATATGAACTCTTCAATTACTTGTTAGTTACCATACTCTCAAACTAATATGTTTTTTTTATATGAATTCCTCAATCACTTGTTAGTTACGAGGCCTCTATGCCAACTATAAACATCTTGACGGGCTTAGTGGAGCCGGGTGGGAAGATGGATGTATCACACTTCCTGAGGGGGTCTGGGCACCCATCCTAGCCAAAAGTAAGAATGTAAGTAAATTTCATTATTATTGTCATCATTTTGCTTTCCTCAAACTGATTTTCGCCTTTTTCTCAGGGAACCAAGAAAGCGAAAGACTATGCTCGATGCAAAGGCCGACCTTTTCATTTATTCACCGAACTTGCCCCATTGCTGGAGGGCCATAAAGCGACTGTGAAGTACACCAAAACCTCGATCAAGAAGCCTGACGATCCAACTCCAGAAGCCTCCACTTCAACTAGCACCCGTGTCCCAGCCACTACCCATACACTTTCACCAACCTCTTCCACATCCGACTTGCCCAATATTGAAGATCCTGCCCATCCTAAGTCTGACGTTCCTAAGTCTGAAGAGGATCCTAGCTCAGATGAAGGACCAGCCGGAAATCAACATGGTAAGTCCGCGGTGGCACTGAAGGAGCGTAACCCGGTTCGCAAGAAGAAATGCAGCGGTGTTGAGATTGTAGATGGGCTTTCGACCAAACTACACAACATTGGATCCCTCTTCAAGTCATCACTCTCTTCATCTTCAACTGAATTACACGACATGAGCACCCTTTTGAGATCGACAATCCCTTCAACTTCCACTTCTGTTGTACATTCTACTCCTGAGGCTCCACCCCAATCGAACCATAGCCAAGCAGTCAAGCTGTTGTATGAATCTTCACTTACTTGCCAACAGCGCTGGAAGGCTATCGAGTTGTTTTTAGTCCAGCCTTTGTTGGCTGAGACTTACATCAGCACTCCAGCTGAGGAACGCAACGAGTGGCTTCAATCCAAGATTTAGGTAAGTAGTTTCAATTACTTCAAACCTATCCTTGCTACATGTTGATGTACTCTATCTTTTCCCTTTCTTTCTTTCTTTACTCTTTTCATCCACTGTTTATTGAATTCATTATCTTGATTTTATTTCATCTATCTATTTATTGATTTATTTTCTTCAGTCTTCTTCTTTTTGTTCTGTATTTTTTTTCAAACACAGACACAGAATTAAATTGATATATTATTACTCACAATGTTATTACTCAAAAGCTGTTTGTAAAGCTGTATGTACACAACATTATTATACACCGGTTTTTAGTTATTTGTTTGATGCTCAGAAATAAAAAAGAACACATGTAGTCTTTGCTTCCACATTATCATGATGCATGAGTTGAGATTTAAGTGAGAAACAATCAAAGATGTGAGTAATACATGTAAAATAAAAACTAAATAAGGTTGTATCTAATCATTTAAGCACCTGGATATGGGATGGGTTTCCCATGTCTTTGCCTGCTACGATTTAACTGCTGTCTTCTTGCAGTCTCTTTTTGATAATCTACCCACATAGCATCTGCAATTGAATCTCGAAGCATTCTAGCATTGTTATTACCTTGAGTGGTACTACCATAAGGTTCTAGATTATCAGTTTGATCTTGAGTGGCAGTTTGAGTTGGATCTTGAATATCTGGCATGAAATCAGCTCCAAATTGAGGATCTTCTTCTTGTGGATCTTTCACGCGTATGAAATTATGAATATAACACATAACAGTAACCATAGAAATCTGTATCTCTATAGTATATTGACACCCGTGAGCCATGATACTGAAGCGTTTCTTGCAGACTCCAAAAATACGTTCAATGACGTTACAAGCACTAGCGTGTCGAAGATTGAAAAGTTCTTGTTTATTCATTGGTCTAAGATGAAAGGATGGAAATGGTGGAAAAAGATAAGAATAAGAAAAGATTGAGACTGATGAAAAGGATGATAAAAAAAGAATGCTGACCTGAAACCCTTTTTTTCCCACTCTCGTAAATGATAACGGACTTTTCGAAAAGGAACAAGACAAGTCTTGGTGAGCGCAAAGCCAGCATCACCAAGATAGTACTTTCCTGCTGGAATTGCAAGGTCACAACTTCGAGCCAAACTCCAAAGCGCACCATCAGCCATACTTCCTTCAGCTCCAACCAATAAATAAATAAATTCCATGTTGAAATTGCACGCAGCAAGGACGTTTTGAGATGTATAGCCTTTACAATTAGAGAAAGGAATATATTCAGAGACTGGTGGAGTGACTGGAATGTGAGTACCGTCAATTGCGCCAATGCAGTCTTCAAATTAAGGCATGAACTTGGTATTTGTAGAGAAATCTTCAGGGAGCGGTGTGTTGGCATTGGGAAGAGGAATGTATTTTCCAAGTAAATCACCATTATCAGAGATTCCCTTGACAAGGTGATTAATTATTCTAATCAAAAGAAGACATGTCAGAAGAAATTGATAGAATTTTTTTTAAAAAAAAAACTGACTTGAAAATACTATCAGCAGATCTTTGGAAACGGTTCTGAAGTTTGCGGTTTGAGAGACCCGTTATGAGAGTATAGAGTAAGAGAGCTAATTTCTCAGTCACCGTAATAAAGCGCGAGTCTACTAGGATTCCAGCATCTTGGAGGACTGAGCGTAATTCAAAGAATACGTGCTTTTGCATGCCAAGATTCTCGTAGAAGACTGATTGGTTGGGATGATTAATAAGCTCATCAATCCAAGCTTGACCACTGAGCATGGAAGTGAGGCGTGGTGTTTTGTAAAGTTGTGGAAGCAACTGTTGAATACATATCTGAGTGCCAATGCTCAGATAAGAGAACATGGCAAAATGGTGTTCTTGAGTAGCAAGAACCTTTTTAATGAAATGTAATTGTAACAATTTGTGGGTTTGGGAGTAGTGATGAACCGCAGTAGCTCTCGAAACAGATCAAGGACGGTGCTGGATTGCACTCGAAGTCCTGTGGTGTGAGGACATCGCAAGTCAATTGCTATGAAAGTTGTTTGTAGGTGAACGACAATGACGACGAAGGTCTTTAATGACCGTTTTGGTTTTTTTATGAAGCTTGTTTGTACACCACGGGGTAACTTTTCGTTGGAATACCAGCGAAACGTTGGTCGTGTCAAAATCTGGCCAAACGCTCGGCGAAATCCCAGCGTTCGACCAGATTTTGGCTGGTACGGCTATACCAGCTGATTTCCGGTCAAAAGCTGGGATTTTGGCCACAAATCAGCTGGTACGCCGGCTGGTCGGCCTGGCGAGAGGTCGACCAGTCTTTTGGCGAGCAGAAGACGGTAAGAGGAAATGTCTTCAAGGAACTTGAAACCGGAGGCTGTGAAGTTAAGGTCCGGTTTTCACAATTGCCTCCATAGACGTGGTTGTAGCCTTCCCTTTTTTATTCTGACAGCGGGAGAGCTCCCAGAATCCATTCTTTGGTCTGGGAACTCCTCCACATCTTCCTCAGCATTGATGCCTTAACCCACCAGGGGTGGATGGCGTGGCTATGGGAGGGAACGAAGAGGTTCCCTCGATCAGCTCCCCGATGATCGGCACATAAACTTCGCTCGGAAACATCTCCTCAGAAACGGTCTGTAGGCCGCCAGATGGCTTGTCTAACGGCGGTAAGGCGATCTCGCCGTTCGACCGCCGCGCCACTGACCATCTGGCGGCGAGCGTCCACCACCAAGCAAATCTCGCCGTTCGGCGGTATTCCATGACCGCCATCAGATGGTATGAATTACCCCGTGGTGTAGGTGAACGAGAAGAACGATAAGAATGGTCTTTAATGACCGTTCGATTCTTTTTGGGGAAGACAATCGATCAGATTGTATTTCATCATTATCGTTACCGAACAGCGATATGATCAAAGGAGGTCAACAGACGTCTGTTGACCTCCGTTTGGATTTCTGTTCGGTAATCTCAATTCCCGAAATACGAATATCTCTACACCACGGGTGCGTCCTGACCGCCTGCGGGCTGGCCGAGTCGGCCGTCCGCAGGCGGCCTGCCTCTACGCAGTGAACGGCCGCCCCGCGCTGGTCAGTGAGGGAGCGCCGACGAGACGCAAAATACACGCCCATGGGCGGCCTTCCTGGCAGCCACTTTCCAAGCTCCAGACGCTGGATATCCTGCCGGCAGGCGGCCTACAATGCTACACAGTGGCCTTGCGGCGGCCGACCAGTCAGAATCCTGGAGCCGAATGGAGCTCAGGAACGGAGATGGGTCTCAGGCAGGCGCGGGCACGCGATATCTCGTTGATTATGACACATAAGGCCTTGTTTCTTCAAGGATGCATTTCCGCAATAAGATAAGAAAGAGAGACAATTGGAACTACAGGCTAATTCGCATTGAAACAAAGACAGTATTGAAAAGACATCTTGAAAGATGAACAGAACAAAACACGCGTGGTTCATCATTCATCAGCAGCGGCGGGTTGGGGTTCCATGGTGTTCATTTCCACCTCGACCTCCCCGTCGCTGGGCAATGCAAAATTCACTTGGGCAGGAATGTCCGTGAAGCGAACATTTCCTTCAAACAAAGCGCAATCCTGATTGTAGACCAGTTTATAGAACCTGTTCGGTTCAAGCCAAAACAAATGGTCAGTTGGTAATGCAGAAAAAAAAGACACCATGAAAGAATGAAATAATGCAGACTTACGCCGTAGTGTAAAGTGGCCCACGCTCGCGCATCTTTCGCAGTTGTTGGTCAACACGTGCCCAAATGTTGCCACCACCCCGAACGACTCGCATCGCTTCGCGACGCTGTGAAATGGAGAATGGAGAGGAAACACAATGTGTTTAACATATAGTGTTTCTGCTAAGTAGGTGGATGAGTATACAAGCGGGATGCCACTGACAAGATATGCCACGCGCAGACGATGACCCCAACTCAATTGGCTCCATAGGGCATCTGCGTCCAGGCTTTCTGGGTTAGTGTTGCATTGATCGGCAATCTAGAAAAGCAATATGATGGTCAAAAACTTCATAAAGGATGTGTGTAGAGGGAGAGAGGTAGAATTACGCGATGGACAAGCTTCTTGATGTTTGGGACAGTGGCGGTGATTGGGCTCGGATCTCGTGGGTTTCGAATGTTTGTCAGAACCTGCTCAGCAGCATGAGATAGAGAAGTTATCAAACAAAAAGTTGTAAAAGGCAGATCGAAAACTGAAACACACCAGGAGATGCATTTTCTCTCTTGCATGCTTGCCAGCGTCCTTGACCAATTTGTTGTAAACCTTCCCAGCTGGAACATCCTGGAACCCATCGATTGTAGGAGGTAGGTGTTGGACTACCCATTGGCCACCAATGGCCTGAACTCTTTGCTGTACGGGCAAACCAAAGCATAAGTAAGATGATAATGGGCTGGTTGAGCTCAAACAAACACGGACCTTGATGGTGTTAAAAAGGGATCTTTGTAGTACATTTCCATCAACCTGGATGGCAGTATAAGCCTCGAGGCCAGCTTCGCCAACAAGCGCGTAGGCCAACTGATAAACCCGCTCCTATCATTATAGAGAGATCATTTAATCGAGAAGGAGAGATAAGAGAAAAAGGTGTTAAAGTCGTTTGAAAATCAATCAATGATGGTCGCAGACGGAAACGGATCCAGAAGATACAGTTGATCCTTCAACCAAACCCACCTTTAAAGCAATCGAGACTGCCCAGGGAGCAGCTGGGGTGGCGGTGGGCACTCGGTTGGCCCCTAGACCAGGAGAGGTCGCTGGAGAGTCGGATCCAGCAGACAAGTCGGCCAATGTCGCAGTAAGTTGATCAACCTTGTTGGACAAGGTGACGACTTGTTGGCGAGATGACACGGAGGAAACCGTGTCGTTAACCTCGTACACCTTGTTCGACAAGATCGATGTAGCGTCCGCTAATTGATCAATCCGGCTGGACATCGTCTCAAATTGGGAGACTTTGTTGGACAAATTGCCAAGCTCTTGCAAGATCTTTTCAAGGATCGGGTTGATTGGGCTTGTCTGGATGAATGAAATCAAGTGATGGTCTCATCGATTAAAATTATATTCACGGTCAGTTGATTTGATTCAACTTACCTCAGTACGCGCCGGTTCACGACGAAACAAACCAGAAGAGCCTCCTCCCATTGTATCGTTAAAGACATCTGGGGAACTATCACCACCAGCACCTGTTGAGATGAAGTCAGCAATCGAATTAATGCGAATAAAGACCGAATCAAGTACCTCGCTTGTTTTGATTATTCAACCCTCGCAAGGTCCCCGAGGCCTCGGTTTGGCCAAGGAGATTGTCTAAATACAATGCGAACAAAGAGTTGTCAAGATTGACGTCAAGAAAAGAACATGAAAGATTCTGCTTACTGAGGGACGGAGACGATGAGCCATAAGGGTGGAAACGAGTGTTTTGAGACATTTTAAGTTTGATGAATGAATGTTATGAACACGAGTGAAAGTTGATTGGGCAAGAGACTTGTGAAAACAGGCGTTCTGGAAGAGAGGACTTTGCGAAAACCATGAAGAAGATGTGCCTTTTGAGTCGCCCCTGGGTAAACCCAGGGGGACCACCCAGGGGCTTCATGCAGCGCGTCCTCGCGTGGTTTCTCACCAGTGGGACCATGTTCTGACCAATCAAGCGAGTTTGCGATGGAAAACTCGTTTGATTGGTCAATCATGCTCAATCACTCAAGAGTCGACGCGTCCTCACTCGCATTCTTTGCGCACTTCGATGCGTCAAAACAATTGACAAACGAGCGAGTCTTCATTGGGGCGCTTCTGGAAACAAAGGAGACAGAGACAAAAAGAACAAAAGGGACACATGTTCAATCCAGCTCATCAACTTCATCAAGTTCTTCCACCATGTTCATTTCATCGAGTTGATCTTCTTCATCTTCTTCGGATGAATCATGAACTGCTTCTTGCATTCTTGCTTTTCCTTTTCCTTTGCCGCCTTTCTTTGCACTCGCTTTGTTAGTTGAGCCTTTCTTCATTTGGTGTTCTTTGACCGGAACAGAATCCCATACTTCCATTCCCTCACGAACTGAATCCTTGAGTTCTTCTGGTGTCATCTGTCGAAGAGTCATGGCAGCCACGTCACGGTGGATTTGGGCCGAGTATTGGCTCGCGCTGTTAAGAATGAACTTGTCGGTCGTTACGTGACAGAGATCACTGATCTTGATCGTGGTTTCCCTCCTCTCGATCCGCTGGTTTCTTGCGAGAGTCACTCGACATGAGGCCTCGTGACAATTATGTTGAACATTGAGGATGCAATGTATATCCTACAAAGGATGTAAAAAAGTCTCAGTATAAATATTTGCATTTGAGATCTTAGAAATCCGCACCTGAATATTAACCCATTTCCACTCATCCAAACGATTGATCTCCCGCATGCCATAATAAGGGTTGACCTCACCTCGCTGGGTTAATTGAACAAAAAGTAATGTTTTGGAACCACTTTCGGAGTGTGGGTGCCAAATCGCAGATACTTGGACTAGTTCGCAGCGATCAAAGACCTAGGCAGCGCTCGAACTCAGTGCCAGTCAGTGTTGAAAAAGCTCACACGGCTTACCTTCACAAAATCAGCCACTTCGACCTTTTGCCCATTCAACAAGGTGACACTGAGAATCTTCTCCCATGACGCTTCGGGATGCCTGGTGGTCAAGACATCTGGAATTTCTGTTACATCTTGAACCCGCGCTGGAAAACATAACCGTCAATTTGCATTCATGATAACAAATTCCAAATAAACCCTCTTACATCCAGTAATAAACTCAGTGGCTTTGTTGCCTTTTGGGTCGAGTCCAATGGCTTGAGATAATTCCGGCACAGTTTTCAAAAGTCCTTGTACGCTAGGCCCGGCAGTACATCGACCCCCAATTTCTTTGTCAAAGAAAGATGTTCCGGAAACAAGCATTCGCAACATCTGATAATTGTTGAAGGATTCCGCAATGTCGCGCCCGGGACTGAGACGGTTTGAATGAACTGAAGCTGCTCGTAATGCGCCGTTGAAAGATTCAAATTTCTGGGTCATGTATAAATGCGTCGGGCCAAAGGACTTGATGGAATCTTTTATATGTGTTAGCATATGGAATTTGGGCTTATTGACCCATTGGGCCGAGTCCTTCATTAGTTCGTGGAGAAAAAGGGTGATTGCACGCTCCAGATCTACCAGGTATTCTTCCACGCAGGTGATCTCGTTTTGAAAGACATGAGAGGCCAGTAAACACAGGGCGGTCCATAGGTGGCGCCTACACATTGAAATCAAATTGAAGAAAACAAAGGGAACGGACTGAAGGATGGTCTGGAAATCTTTGCCAACCAAACTTTGAAAAAATTGAATATAAGTGTTGGGCTGTATCGGGGCGATGTTGAGACCTTTGGTATTGAACGCGCGCCAGCGACCTGTGAGCTGAACGTGAATCTTGCTGCCTGGTTTCAAAACACCAAAAGACTTCATGGTGTCTCGAAATAGGTACTTTGCGATTCCAAGAAGTATGACATGCAAAGTTTCGACGGGGGTATCTGTATGGCCATTAAAGCCTACATCGAGATCATGAGCACAACATCCAAATTCTAATCTTTCAAAGCAACCGGAGATCAAACCTTTGAGCCTCAACATTGGGTTGAACAAGTGATCACCCAACCAAAGGTTCAGTTCCTCGCACATCCGCTCGACATCAGGTCTAGCATGCAAATCGTAAGCCCCCTGGATGTTTTTCTTGAAAGTGTCCAATACGGAATCCCGAAGACCATACGTGCGCTCCTTTTGGTCCACGGTACTTCGACTGTTCGGTAATTGCGCTAAGGCCCAAATTTCGGCAGTCCTAGCGCGGGTCGTGTCCCAATCACGTTTGGGCGCACAAGCCTAAAGGAACTTGGTCAGTCATTAATGTCAAGGGTGGTACATAGGGGTCCTATCTACTTACCTGCTCACCGTCAGAATTGATACCAATAAATGCACACACATACTCTTCTGTCCTCTTTTCAATCATACGATCCACACGTAAAGGGCATATCCGGCAAGGAGATAATGTGTTCGCTGGGTTGGTTGTATTGCTGCTTTCCGCGTGCATGGGGCCATCTCCCAGGTGGCATAACACCACCACCATCACTAGCACTTCCTTACTTGTTGCGTGATCATAAGCAACAAAACCATTTGCGCTGCTGTCACTAACATAGAGAAACAACAACTCGTATCAACATCATTCCAGCGAAAGAGCAGAATAGCAACAGAAGAGAACTTTGAGTGAGTCTTGGACTTACTTAATATCGTCGACTACCTCATCCATCAAGTCTAGCGCGGATGCACAGTTTGAAGTCGCAAGAAAGTGTATATTGTACTCTTGGTTCGTCATCTTCGGAGGTAGACCAGATAAGGTAAAAAAAACGCTCATATGTTTGTTCCATTTTTTGGAAACGTTGCCAGACGTATCGTCGGAGTACAATGTGATCGGCACATGCTTAATGGTGCGGCCATCGGCTCTCGCGCGCCATGGGTTTTCCATAGGTAGTGGATTGAATGCACCCAAAGGAATTTTCTCTGGAAGGAGATAAAACAAACATCAATAGGTATTTTTCACTGGAACATTCAAGAAGGGCACATACGATATAGGTATTGACCGCAAACATCTTTGAGGCAACGCCCTTCATCCACCTCAATTTGCTGAGCAGTTCTCCAGAACTCAGTAAGAGAGACGGTTAAAAAAACAGTCGAATCAAAAGTTGGCTCTGGAGGGATATAAATTTGGTACATGATTGGGTAATGGGGGTCTGGAGTTACAGTGGCTGGAAGGCATTTGGCCTTCAATACACCTCCTTGTTGATAAAAGAATGCCGGGACAACAATCTGATCTGAGAAAATTTGAACAGGTTCATATATGTAATAGTGAACGTGATTGGAGGAGACCATTTGGACTCTGAGATCCTTATCAAATCCCTCTCGCCACTTCTCACTCTGGGATAACCGGTTGATTGGATCATTTTGATCCACAGGTTTTTCGGGTACAGCAATCAGATGTGGGCTGATCAACGGGTTGGCTAGCTCCTGTGGAATGCAAAATAGCACTGTCAGCTCATGTATGTGACCTTTTGTGCAAAAGATCACAGAATACTTGCGTTGGCGATGATTGTCTTGACTTTCAAGCCAAAAAGTGGCATTCCTGATGGACTCGTACGTTCAGAGACGGAAAGCCCCATTTGCTTCTTTAAACGTTTGCATAAAGCACGCAAAGCGCCCCATTCTGGGAGTCGGACTTCACAAATTCGCAAAATAGAGCGAATTCGGTGGTATTGTGATCTTGATAGGATGTTTCTTGTGGATCCGACAATCAACAATGCAACGACATGCTGAGATAGGAACTGGAGTCAGTAAGAGTATTGACATCTTGTCAGACCCAATTTGAGTTTGCAGACTTGCCTCTTTCTTTCGGAACGGGTACCAGTCATTGCTCTCCTGGATGTGAGCATCTCGTAAATCTGCCTCAAGTGCCGCATCATCCATCGCCTCGTTGGCTTCCTCATCCCACACATTGAGCCCCATCGCCCTGACAGCTTCGGCAAGCGTGTTGTCATTGATCTCAAGCTCGGAATCTTCTGGATTGCTCGCTTGTTCTTTCTCCGCACCCAGAAATTCAATGGCTCGCACAATTGACAGGGGAGAGGGGGGTCGTTCGGGGGTATCTGAGCGAGGGGCTGGATCTTCCGTGTCCATGAAGGCGTCTGCAAGTGGAGGTGGGTCATTGTTTGGGAGCGGGTTTTGATTCGCTAGACCAGGGAGTATTTCGTTTTGATTGGCGTTGAGAGCGTCAAAACAGGCAGCTTTGTTGAGATGGCTCTTGGTCAACATATGAGCGGCGTACGACTTCATGGGACGCTTCCCACAAACTAAACACAGAAAAAGCGGCGCAGAGGTGTCCGAGGACAGAGATTTAAAATCTAAAAAGATGGAAATGTCAGAGTTGCGATCGGTGAAGACGACGAAGGAGAGGACTGGGAGAGGAGACAAACAGCGATCGTGTATGATTCCAGCCATTTGCAAATTGATGTGGTGGGTTTTGTGTGAGTGGTCTGATCGGGGATTGGTGGACTTTTTATGTGGACTGTGGTCTGAAAGGAGATCGGAGATCAGAGACTTTTGTGCTTTTGTGCGAGGTGAGTGACTTTTGCAATGTTCTGAATTCGAAAATACGGCCGAGGGGCCTTGAAGCGGCAACCGGCAGGCCAACCGGAGACGGAAGTGGGGCGACAGATGCCTGCAGCCTGCAGGCAGACCGGAAGCGGTCTCCAGATTGTTGATAGATCGCCTGCCGGTCGATCTATCATTGCGGCTCGGACTCCCACCAAGACTGGCCTGGGGCCATCCGGGATCGACCCGCTGGCTGACGTGAGGCCAGGTTCAGACCCGACCTTTCACAGATCACTTTTCGGCCCAGGATCCCCCCGTGGTGTAGTATATGCAGCACGTTCGGACTCCAGCCTCAGACTGTTTTTTAAGTGCTTATTGGCTTTTATTGCGTACAACATTAATGAGACAAGTTAAAATTAAGAAAGACTAGTATCCCTTGGGAAATCGGTCATCTAGTCAAGCAACGGACATCGTTATCTTTTCATACATTAGAGAATATTCTTTTTTTTGTCTATTTTGATTGCGGGAACACAGCCGATACACAGTTCTGAGACTGAGCTCCAAACAGCGCCATTGTGGTGTCCGCCAGCGAGCGGACCGCTTTGCGGTCCATTTCGCAGTTGAAGATTCACCGTGAGTCGTGCACTGTCTGCAAATTCAAATGATTCACACGACTTGAGATAATTCGGACTTCGTGTGAAAAGAGGTGCGTAATTTGAAACCCTCAGAGCATCCACAGTGGTGGGCTCCAAATCGGGGCTCCAAATCGAGCGAATTCAAATTTGGTGGGGCCCCAAATCAATCCGGATGCAGTCGTTCGGACTTCAAAAGTGTAGATTCTATGTGTTTACACACACTTTGAGATTGGTATGCGTGGGCTTACATGTGTGAGGTATGCGATTGAACAAGTGCGGGAATTTGGAGCCCGGCTTTTTGTTGCCAAATATGTAGCCCAAAGCTCGAAATTTGAAGCCGGCTACAAAAAAAATTGGCGATGGGGACTGCCATTGCACCAAAAAATCGGGGCTCAGTCACCAAATTTGGCGATAGCCCCGATTTGGAGCCCACCACTGTGGATGCTCTCAATTTGGCTACGAGATATTCAAGTTGCAAAGGACCGACAGATTTGCAATTCTTAATCCGGCTCCAGCAGATTTTCCTGTGATTCCTGTTTAAGTGGCGAACATTTACGTTGAGGCGGCATGCCGTCAACTTGAAGCACTGGTTCGGGTATTTGATTCTTCCCAAGTCATGAGTCCCACGATTCCTCCATACCGGATTTCATCAAATCAAGGGCTCTAATTCAGAAATCAGAAGTTCTTATCAAATAAAATAAAGCATATCACTACTCCATAAACTTATTACATCCATACAAACTCAGCTCAAGAGACATCATCTTGTAAACTGCAAAAGGAAGTTGTGCTCAGTCTCTAGAGAGAATCAGTAATTCCCAAGATGCTGAATTCTTCTTCTTCTTTTGGATATCGGTGCTTGGTTTCATATTCTTCAACTCCTCTCTCCTCTCAACATTTTTTTGTCAAAAACGGCGATATGAGATTGCACAGAAACAAACATCAGTCTGTTTTCTACGAGTGAGAAAAGAAATCCTAACTCGCAGATGTAAAATATGTACCATGACTTCTTTCAACCCATAAAAACCTGAGCAGAGAAAAATAAAATATACAGTGAAACAAAGCTTGCAGGTCATTGCTGAGTCGATACTGAATCTCATTCAATTCCTCAGTCTTTTCACCTCGATTCAATTTTGTAAAGTTTGAGCCCTAAAACTTAAAGTTTCAAGTCAGAAATTAAGATATCCAGGGGTTATGTCTGGTTAAGTACTTGATGAGTAATCTGCTTTTACCTAGTTTGGTAAAGCTGTGTTGGTTTCTGAATTTCAATTTGAATTTCTTAATCAAGTCATTTCAACACTCAATCACATCCAACTTCAATCTCATCAAACCCTCCCCAAACAAAAATGTCACCAAACCCTTACCCCATCCCACCTCCATCTTACGCTGATCCCATCAACAAATCATCAGATCAAGAACCTTTATTATCTCCAAGTAATCCATCTAAACATCAAAACCCTTCAAGTTGGTCAGGTCATCAAACTTTAAGAAATTCAAATTGGAATCATGAAGCTCAAGAATCGGGATTATCAGATGATTTCTTTATTGGAGTCACTGTTTCTCAAGCTACTATTGAGATTCGAATGGCATTTATTCGAAAAGTCTAGTTTTGAGCCCATTTCATGACTTCTTTTTCTTCTTCATTGACAATACCAAAACTATCATCAAGTTCTTTACTGACCATTTGATTTTTGGTTTTTTTTCTTTGATGATAGTTCGATTTTATTCTTACAAATCGCTGCTACTACTCTAGTCGGAAGTTTGATGAGATTAGATATCTGTAGATCATTCTTATTATCTCATACTTGGACTATCTTTATTCCTTTAGTTGGAGCTTTGATTAGCATGCTCTTTCTTTATGTCAAACGTCATTCGTCACCTGCGAATTTGATCTTACTCAGTTTATTTACTGTCTTAGAAGCTATGGGAGTGGGTGCAGCTGTGGCGTTTGTTAATACGATTGTCGTCTTACAAGCATTGTGTCTTACTGGATTAGTCTTTATTGGTTTGACGGTCTATACTCTACGTAAGTATTTTTGAACGGCTTCTGTCGAATGAACTATGACTTGACTACATATTTATACTCTTTTCTTTTTTTGTTCGTAGAAACTAAACGTGATTTTAGTGGATGGGCTCCTTACCTTAGTACAGCCCTCATGGTGATGTTCTTTTCATCCTTCATCACCGTCTTCTTTCCATACAGTAGTACTATCGATATGATCTACTCGGGATTCGGAACGTTACTCTTTTCAGCCTACATTGTGTAAGCAGTTTTAGATCTGACAATCTCTATGATCAGTTGGATTTGACTCCTTTTTTTGTTTGTTTATTACTATTTCCGGTTCAGGTTTGATACTCAAATGATGTGTAAACACTTGAGTCCTGATGATTGGGTAGTAGCTTGTGTCTCACTCTATCTCGATGCTGTGAACTTGTTCCGTGAGTGTTTTTAGATATCTCTTTACTAATTTCAAAAAGCTTTTGTCTGATGACTGTATTTTATTTGGTTGTTGTTCAAAGTTAACATCGTTCGAGTCTTATCTCAAATGCAAGAACGTTAGATCATTGTTTGTTTCTGACCACAAGATGATGTGTTGAAGACTGTTTTTTTCTTCTTTTTTTTCTTATCATCATCATATACAAAACCTCAGTATAAAAAAAACTTAATTCAAATTTCAACTTTTTTTGGCTCTTTACTATTAGGAAGGATTGAGTTGATTGTTCATTACTGCTTAGTCTTCATCCTTTTGTTAACCGGTATCAGAGAAAAACAAGACAAATCGATTGGTTTGATCTATTCTCCTTTTTTTGGTATTGATTGATCTTATTTACTTCTTTTGTTGTATCACTCCATGTTTGATTTCCAATATATATGTTTCTTTTGCTGAAGTTGTGTCATAGTGAGTTGATAGTCATGAGAAACAGAATCAATTGGGGACTCAGATTGATTTTGCTTTCTTAGATGATGATAAGATAGGAGAGTGCTTCTATGTAGTATAAAGAACAGGTTAAAATGAATGCCATTCATTGCCATGGCAAGTGTTCAAAGATGCTTGCTTCATGTTTCTTGTGCTGTTTACCACCTTCTTTACCATTAGGTTATTTGATGAGGATGCCCTTTCCCTGTAGAGGTTCTTATCTCTGAACTCTTGTTTCACTTCCAGTTACATCATAATCATCCATTATGAATCTACTCATATTGGTCAACAGGGTCCCACCTGTCTCTTCCTCTTTCCTATCTGCATATATGTTTAGTCCTCCGCGCCATAAAGAGCCTCTTTAGTCCCTCTTGAAAAAATTGTTTCATCTGAATTTCTACTCCATTCACAAGTCTTACATGTTTTTTTATCAATTACAAAGCTCTAGGCCCTAGTTCTGGTAAACCTACTCTTGGTGAGTTTACAACTCTTCATCTCCTAAAATCATTCTCTAATTATAATGGGTGATCCATAGCTGGTAAACAGATCCTCATTTTTTTTTGATGTTGATTGATAAGTATAAAAGAGATAATGCACAATATAGTTCAACAAATCAAATGAGTAACAAAATAAAAAAAAAGATGAATGAGATTTTATGAGATTTCTTTTTGTTTAATGGTATGGTAAAATTCTTTAAATTAAACTGGTTGAAATCTTGCATAATATCCTTTGGTTTTAGATTCCATTAACTCTGGTGTACCTTCTGGTAAATCAGATTGCCATTGACCTAAAAAAGAAAAGAAAAGAAAAGAAAAGAAAGTTTTGGTTTTTTAAGTTAATGATCATGAAGTGAGATTTTGAAAAACTACTACTGGGAACAAAAGGTTAAGACTAACCAGGTGAACCAGAGTAGTAAGACATAGAAGCTATCACAGTACCAGGAGGAATGATCGTATTATCTGCAATCGTTACACAATCTTTTATAATCGAAAACCTACCCTAAAAAGTTAAAGAAAACCATTTCAAATAGATTGAAGATCAGTGTCTAGACTAAAGAAACATCAATGAAGATGGATTTTGAAAGAAAAGTGATGAATAGATGATAATTTACGATTACACAATTTTTTCCTATGTTCACTAGATTACCTATACTTGCTGCTTCTATAACTGAATCTGATCCGATATGAACATGATCACCAATCTTCATTGGATAATAAGAAAACACTCTATTTTAAATCCAAAAAAAAACAGAAACCATCAAATTAGAATGTCGAAACTGAAAAAGAAAAACCCTTCGATGATTATTTTTTTGTTTTTGGTTTGATAGATTTACCCTTTATAAGTTTTATAAGGAGGTCTAATCACTGATCTTTCACCTAATAAACAAAACTTTCCAATTCCAATCACTACAGAATTACCTACACCTGATCTTCTTAAATCTCCTCTGATCACTACTTGATGTTGTATTATTGTTTTACCTCCTAAGATTATATTTTGTGATCCTGAAATTAATGCTTTTCTTGATACTTTATTTCCTGTATCCTTTAAAATCAAAAAAATATAACCATTTCATAAAAGAAAACGAATGTTTTTTGTAGTGAGGTTTGGGTTTGGAAAATTTGAGGTCAATGGGGTAGAGTTGGTTTGAGTTACTTACGGTTTCGATGTAGGCTGATTTATCGTATTGTACTATTGGTCCACTCATCTCTTTCTGGTTTTATCAATCTTGAATTTGAATGGTTCGAAGATCGAGTTGGTGTTGATCGGGAACTTGAAGTGATTCGATTCTTGTTGAGTTCTTTGATTTACATTTTGAGGATTTGAGACTGAACTGAATTCAAATTCCACTCGATTTACAACATCTGAACAGAATCCTCGGATACTTCAATCAAGTCGGATATCTTGATGTGTCCACTCCAGAAATGACCAGCAACTTCAAGCTTTCTTTCACAGTTCAAGTGGTCAGGATTTGATTTTCACATTTTGTTCAGTAGGCTATATACATATACACATCTTTCATGAAATGAAGTCATGAGAAGAGGAAACAAGACGGGGTAGAAACACTTCATCCAACATATCGAGTGCATATACCTAAATACACTACCAAAAGCTTGATTGATTCAATAGAAAGATTATGAGACACGATAAATTTTTATGTCAGTTTTTTCCATCAAAATCGTGAACTTGATTATGTTGGAGGCATATTGAGTATATCACTGAAATTCATCAAAAGTCTATAAACCTTTATTCGTATTTTTTTCAAATCTGTTAGTGTGTGCGCGTAGACGTGCTACCCAGAATTTTACACGGTGATATGGATATTCTTTTAGAATGACTGTATAAGGGTTTATAGGTTGCTTCATAAGTATAAAAGTTCAAGAAGAAATTTGTTAAGAAAAAAACAAAACAAGCAGAACCCATTGATCTACTCCAACAATTCGAAAAAAAAATTGCATGACATTAAATTGTTAAGTAAGAAAAAAGCATTCGATTAGATTTCCCAAACAAGATTTTCTTTCTTGTTGATATGAGTCTTTTCAAGCGCAATATTTTGTAAAGCAAGCTTCACATTGAGGTGTCCTTGGAATTCCATCACGTTGGTTTTGTCTATCGATCAAACCACATGCAATACATGTTGGCCAACGTGGTTCTTGTAGTTCTCCAACTCGATCAATTGCTTCTGCTAAATCACCTGAAAGAAAGTTATCGACTGTATTCTTTCCTCTTCCTTGTGTTGCAATGGCGAATCCATTAGCTAAAAATCCTTCAATTTCGGCTGGCTAAAGGATTAAGTAATCCATCACCCCCCCAAAAAATGTAAACTTGATTAGGAAATCGATCGAGTTACTAAATGAATTGGAAATAGAAAGTTTGACAAACGGTATATGAAGCATGAACAGTTGATACATCTGTTTCTGCTACAATGTAATAATTTGGAAAATAGATCACGAGTGGTGCCGAAGTTTCATTACAACCGAATAAAGAAGGTCTTTGATGTAAACCTCGAGCTGTGAACTCTCTACTGGCGTCTGGAATTCTAATTTTTGCAAATCAAGACATCAGTAAAGATCATGGAGTTAGATTTTATGATTGATTTGTTGCTTACTTTGGAAAGCTGTAGCCTTGATAATCGGGTAATGTTGTTTTTAAATATGTCATGTAGAGTGAGGTTCCATTGGCATCTATAAGATTCAAGACTCGGAGTTAGTTGTAAACATCTTGAAGGATGATCCAAATCACTTACATCCTTGTGCATCAATTGTTTTTCCAAGTCCATCAGCTTGCTATACACATCAAGATAAGTGATAACACATAGAACCACAACGCAGTATGAAGTTTTTCATCAGCAATAACTTTTGATGAGGTTCTTGAATGATTTGGAAACTCACCGCGTCAACGGCAAAGATCACATCGAGGTTTCTCTAATAAATCAGAAAAACAGAATTCAACTTTTGATTCTAAGTTGATTGAAACTTTGAATTCATCAGACGTACCGCAGGTTGGATCATAGGCCACAATGGCATATTTTCACCTATGAAACACTCATCACTGTCGTCAATATATATCCAAACAAAATGAAAATCTTCATCAGATCTTAAATCTTTAAATTACCTCCTAATCCACCATCTGCAAGATACAAAAGTGAATCTTTCCCATCCGGAAACCCACTTGAGGGTCCAAATCCGATTCCAAGTCCATTGAAAGGATTCAGGACCTAAGAAAGAAAGTCTTCAGACATCTATGGATCAAGTTTCGAAACGTCTTGTGACTACTTACGAGTGCTTCATCATACATATGATCCGTGAAATAGTAATAGAGGCCAGCTATGAGCCTTTTAATGAGAGGCATCTGTTCGTTGGGTGCGAAAGGTTCGCTCAAGATGTTTGATGAAGCTCCCATCACAAATCTAAGAAGAGATCATATGTATTTGAGTTATGATCTCGAAGATCTTATACGATCTAGAACTACTTACGCAGCATTATCAAAACCTGTTGAGAAAATGTGAGTTGACACTTTTCCACAGATTTATTAAATATGACTGTTAAAACTCACCATTGACACAATCTGCATGAGGTGGTACATTCCCATTGAACATACTTGTTCCTAGGTAATCGATTGGAATAAATGCATTCAAAGAAGGATGCCAAACTCCGAATTCTTCAGGAGTAAACTCATCTGACCAATCAAAAAAAGAGCTTAAAGTCAGCTTCAACTCATCTTTTAATATTCTCAACTCCTTTCGACTCACATATCGGAGTTTCGAGAGTGATTGAGCTTGTTCCCTTGTTCCCTCGGCTTTCATGAATTATAATTCGGGTCTTATATCAGTCATCTGTAAGATCTTCTGCTCAACGAGATCAAGATGAATAAATTGAGTATATCAAAAGACTAACCTAGTAGCTACGATGATAGGATAAGGTGCATCGTAATTTTGAAAAGCAGAAACGTTTCTAATCGAACTGAAAAGAACACTTTCACCATAATTCGGAGCATTCCTAAAAAATTGGTTAACAAAGATCGAAATTTAGAAATTCACAACAAAATCAAAATCTAGGATATATTTTAGAAAAAGATTAATACGTTTCAACTTACACAAAATGTTTTCCAACCATCAATGCCCAAACACTAAACTCAATCAAAATCAGTGATTATCCAAAAAAAAACACCATTCATCATCAATCAAGAAAATCTTCATGACTAACTCAATCAGACTAGCAGGAAAGCCAGCATCAGCTTTTTGTCTTGCAATCTTAACAGCAGGTGGGTATTTCTTAATCGTTTGCCAATCAAATGGTTGATTATCTTGAGTTAAATGCCAAGATTGAATTAATTCAGGTATGATTGGAAAATCACTTGTCGCCTATATTTTTTTAATCAAAGTTTTTTGTCAAATTTCATCTTCTTTTATTGAAATTTCGATTAATCTTTTATTGTTAATTTTCTTACCCATGATCCAGTAAACCAAGATCCTCTATGGAACGATAAAAATTCATAAGATATTCTTGGTTTCATTGTACTCAGATGATAAGATTTTTACTTACCCAGATAGTCCAGCCACATAGTTCATCAGTTGCATGATCCCTCCAGTCTAATATCGAACATGATTTTCAAAGTCAATTCTTTAAACAAAATGGATCAGAATCAAAAGAACGTACCCCTGCTTGCATGGCTTCAGGATTTCGAGCGTCGAATGTATGAACCTTTTGAGGATGGTAAGAAAATGAAATTCGTAAATGTCTTTTCCGTTATCTTTCTGATCTTTGAGTTCTGAATGACATACTATACTAGCTCCAAGTAGTGCTGCCCTCGGTCCACCTCCCGACAAGGCTATTCCTGTTTTCTCATAAAAAAATATAGTGATTAGAAAAGAGATAAGTAATTCTTTTTGATTCTTCATTCAATCTTTCATGAATTCCAATTTTAATAATTTGAGCATACCTATATTAGGTAAATTAAATCCTGCCTTAGCTCCCTCTTTCTCTGCTCTTTTCAAGAACTCATCTATACTAAAATCAGTTAAATTTGCACCCGATAAATATCTTCTCCAATGTGGTATAGATTTAGATGTTCTTTGTCTTATATATTCAGCTTCTTTATCTGCAAGTGGTCCGATCCTATCTGGTAGTCTAACATGTAGGTTACGAGGACATGGTACCCATACCTATTTTCACCAGAACCAGAAAAACAGTTTTCAGAATCAAGATAAAGTACTTCACTTTACTTTCTCTTAAACAATTCATTTCTTGAGGGCAGAATCACTTACAGGTGCATATCCACCACTAGGAGAATCACGCAAAGCTGGTTTACGTTTTTGAAGTAAATGTGTCCTAGTTGATCCAAGACCGAGTGGATAATAAAAGATAACCTGAAGAATGATAAAGATAAAAAGAGTGATCATGATGAAAAGAATCCCAAGGTAATAAATCAAACGAGAGATTAAACGTTTAACAAAAGTGGTTCGGTTTAAAGCAATCCTTAGAGTACCTTTGGGTATCATCACTTTAGTATGATTTTTAGTCAACAAAATACCATATATGTATTACTAGACTGAGACTCTCTTTTGACTGATTTTCTTGATTTCAATCACTTGACAGAATCAGAGACACACTAAAATGACTTGTAACGTCACCCTAGAATCTCCTTTTGGATGAGTATTCAGAGCAAGTTTAGAAGGGAAAAACCAAAGCAGTGGATATTGACGAGATCCCAGTGTGTGCGGGTAGTTTTTTTTCATCGCAGTTTTCAAAGGAGAAAGTTTAGAAAGCGTCCATTGAGACATCTCCTACAGATCATGAAGCAGATGGAATCGAAGTTGTAACTTGCTCCGGAAGAATATACAATTAAACCACTGGTAGAGTTGGTGTTTGACTCTGCTACATAGCTCGATGAAAATGAAAACCGAGACGATAATATAATGTTGTGTTTCAGAACACGAAAACATCGCAATAACGACTTGTCCGAACGACATGTATTTATATATCTTTTGCAGTCGAACGAGGTGAAAGCTTCAAGGATGTCCACCTTTCATATGACTCAGCATTCATAGAGAATCCAAACAAGCCGAACCGAATTGAGAGACTCTTCGAATCAGTCAGAATTGATCAAGATAAATAATCCAGCCAAGTATAATTCTTGACGTGATCTTTTGTTGTTGTCCTCCAGCGAGTCGAAGGTTATCAAAATCAAAATCAAATCTTCTTCAAATCACATCAACCGATAACCCCCAAGAGCCATCCCGGTCCGTAACCCACTTGAGACCAATCCACCAACTCTGATGCAAGTTTTCGTTAATCCAAAGACGAGAAAATTATCCAATATTTTATCCAAGAAGCCAAAGAGAAGTTATTTAATAAAAACTGAGAAATTAATGAAACCGTTGATACTTGTGTGGCGATGATAAGAGAGATACATAGGGGATGAAGGAGGCCATTCAAGCAATCCAAAAGGCTTCCTTCAATTATCAAAAAGATGTACCTTTGATAAGCCATGACCTCTCTGTGAAATGAGGAGGGTAGTATGGGTTTGGACAGAGAAACAGATCAAAAGCCATGTTTACCATGTTTACCATCAGGCTTCAAGTTCAACTTTCAAAGGAATCAATGATTTCTAGAGAATGATTTTCAGTTCAAAACTATGTAATAATAACTTCTCTTTGTGAAAGTTGTTGTTGTGACTAAAGAATAAAAGATTAACCCGTCCCAAAGGGCCCAGGCTCAGATGAGGAAACGAAAAATCAATCAAGCTTGAGATTGTAAGTTCAAACAAAAACAAAGATCTCATTCTGATCATTGACATCAAAAAGAAAAATCTGACACCTAATGGATTTCATTATTTTAGTTTTTTAAAATGTCAGGTTAAACCTTTCTACCTTTAAAATACTCTCTCAAAACACTACCCTTACTTTCAAATTGATTATCAGTCTACATATTTCTAAAGATCATGCATCATTAGATCATACATCACCTAAATAATACTGCAGCCAAACTCTTTGTTTTTTAAAAAAATCTAATCTTAATCAAAATCCAACCCATAAGTTACCACCATCATTATCACCATCATCATTAATATTGTTATTATCATCATTACTATTATCATCATTATCATTATTCATAATTTTAACTTGTATAAAACATAAACAAACAACATGATCAACCAATTTGAAAAAAACCCATAACAAACAAACTCAACCAAAACTCTTCATCCTCAACATATTAACTCCCCCCTAGTTTTTCTTTGAGAAAAATAAACAAACATCAAAATAAAACAACTTCTTCACGATTTACCCTACCCTTTTTAAGAAACCTAAAAAACAACTAACACTCAACATGAAAAAAACTCAACATAAAAAAACTCATCAAAAACACCACATCAAAAACACCACATCAAAATCCATAAAATCCAAATAAAAAAATTACAATCACAAAGCCAAACCCACACACACACATAAAGACTCCATAAATAATAACTACTAAGAAAAAACCCCATTGTTTTGATTATTAAAAAAACTCAACTCAAGAAAAACCAAAAACCAAAAAAAAAATCCATAACTATAACCATTCTTCATCTTCATCTTTATATATTATACACTGTACAATCAAAAAAAAACCTCACAACCAAAGAAACCAACCAGAACCAATAAAACCAAACAAAACCAAAAAAAAAACTTGATAATTTTTGAATCTTTCTTCTTCTTCTTCATTTGAAAAAACCCCAAGAAAAAGAAACCAACCTCCAACCTCCAACCTCCAACCTCCAACACCCACAAAAAAAGTGAAAAATTGAAAAATTAAAAGCCGTTTCCCTCAACCAATATCCTTGCTATCTATCTATCTCTATTTCTTTCTTTCAAAAAAATAATAATAAGTTTTCTTATGATTCTTTTGTTTCAAAAAAAAAGATCAATACACAAACCCTCCCCCCAAACAAAAGTCGTGAAAAAAGCAATCAGAACCCGTACAAATTCATTAAAGATCTTCTTCTTCTTCTTCTTGTTCATAATCCATTAATCCTTCTACGTCTTCTATACCTTCTCGAGCCGTATCCTGTTCAATTTCAATCCCATGTCCGTCCTCTTCATCGTCATGTTCCTCGTCCTCCTCCTCCTCTTCTTCTTGTTCCTCATCCTCTTCCTCCTCTTCATCTTCTTCATCCTCTTCATCCCGTTCCTCCTCCTCCTCCTCATCATCTTCATCATCATCATCCTCATTCCCAGCTTCCCACATCCTTCTCTCAGCTTCTCTCAAATGAAGATCATCTCCCTCACTCTCCTCATCCTCATCTTCCAAGCCCATCCTCTGATCTCTCAACTCGATCAACTCTCTCAACGAAGGTGGTAAGTCTCCACAATCGACTCTTAACCTTCTACAGGTTCGTTCTAATAACTTATCTAATTCCCACCAATTATCTTCATTAGTTGCAAACTTTCGATGTTTACGTGTGATCACATGCTATTTTACCAAACCAAATTTCCGTCATTCAATTCATTAGTCATTCATTTTCGAAAAATCTCATTCAAAGCAAAGAAAATCTCTTCTTCACTCAACTCGTTTAAAATCTCCATACTTTGTTCTACAATTCTCACAATACCCAGCCTTAGCTTCTTCTTCTCCCACCAAATTACTCAAATCCAAAAGCTCAAATCCTTCTCCCAACTTATCTCTAACACCTAATCCTTTCCTACCACCTCTCCTTCTTCTACTCTCTTGATTCTTATTCGTACACCCAATCCCATCAGTTTGTTTCTTTTGTTCTAAAAGTGCTTGATCTAAACTTTGACATCGTTTTAAATTCTTTTCTCCTCCTCCAACCAACTGATTTTCCTTCTTTAAATTATCAAGAATCTTAAACGTAGGTCTTTTAACCAACTCATTTAACCTTTTATCCACCAAAAAATTCGATTGATAAGCCAATGAAGATCTAGTCGATGGTGTATTAGTAGAAGTGATCGTCACACTATTTCCAGATGCACCTAAGAATACCTTTCCAGGTCCTCTTTGATGTTCTAGAGCAGTGATGTTCACTAAGTCTGGATACAATCCTTCTTGATGGTTCGCTTTCGAATGAGTAGGGTTAAGTTGAACGGTTTGTTTTCGTTGTAAGATGTTCATACTCATCGTTCTACGTAATGATTGGGTAGGTTGTGAGGTTGGAATCGAAAGATAATCTCGATTCTGGTTTGGATTAGGGGTTCGATTAGGATTATCTTCAAGATTCGAATTCGTATTGGATTCTTTAAACCGTTCTTCAAACATTTGTTTGATCCTTAAATGAACATGATTCAAAGAATGTTTAGAATTATATTTACTAAAAGCCGATTTGCCTTCAGTTCCACCAAACAAAACTGGCCAAGTCTGATTAGAAGTCGAAGCGGAAGTGGAAGTAGAAGCAGAAGGATCTTTAACTTTCGATTTCGTGAATTCTTTAATGATGATCGGTTTGAATTCTTGATTAGAATCTTCTACTAGAATAAAATTAGATTGTTTTGAAAAATAATGATAATCTGATCGAATCGAAATCGGATCTCGTTCATGTGTATGACCTTGTTGTGCTTCTTTAGCTAAGAGGGATGGTAAGGATGGTTTCATTAATGGTAAGGGTTTCATAGGTGATCTTCTATCTTCTAATCTTTCAAGTACATTCCTCAGTTCTGTTTCCAAATTCCGAAAATCAAAATTAAAAAAAAATCAAAAAATCTTTCAAATCCATCAAATTGACTTTTAGTTCAACTTACTTTCAGTTCTCCATATCTTGATTTTCATTTCAAGTGCTTTTCTCATAAACGGATCGATTTGAGGAGGATCAGTCAAGATACCATCTTTAGGATCCGGACTTACCAAATTCGGTTCAAGGATCCGTTTACTAGACCTTCTCGTCAACGGACCATTCTCTTTATTATTGAAATGTAAAGGATGTGAAGGATGAACATGAAGAGTTGAAGGTGAAGGTGATGGAACCGGTAGTTGATAAGCCGTGTTTCGTTTAATCGAATTCGTTACACTTGGTGAAAGGATAGGTAGGTTCACTGGGACTGGGATATTAGTGATCACGTGTGTGACGTCTTTAGAAAAGAATTGATCAACGCGCTTTAATTACGCCAAAAAAGAAAGAATCAAGTTAATTCAAGAATCCGGGAGGGGGGAAAGACGCGTCGAAAAGTTGATCAAACTTACAGCTCCCCATGATTCTAATTCGTTAGATAGTTCAGATTCGGTTTTCGAATCTAATCTATCAAGATAAAACACAAAGCTTTTGATCGCGACTCGATACTTTTCTTGCCATTGTAAAGTTTCACGTCTCAATTCATCTTTCACGCGTTGTTTGTCACGATTGAAGTGAGATCTTGAATCTTTTTCATTGATTAGGTTTGGTAAGGTATGATTTGTGATAGGAGTGATTGGTTTGGTTGTTAATGTAGTAGTAGTAGTAGTAGTAGTCGTAGGTGGTGGTGGTGGTAAGAATGATTGAGATTGTGATTTTGGTTGAGAATCAGGTGAATGGATTGAGAATGATTTTGGGTTTTGTTGGTTTTGATTTTGATGAGAAAGTCTAGTTCGTTTTGGTAAAGTGTTAATGATTAAGTTTAATGGTAATGATTCATGGTGATGATGATGATGATGATGATGATGATGATGATGATTAGGTCTTTTACCATTCAAGTTGAGTTCAGATTTGATGATAGACTGTAAAGTGAGTGAGTGATGGTTAGTTTGATTGGTTTGATTAGATTGTTTGATTTGATTTGACTTACCATTGAATTGTTGATTGGATCACTCATGATGGTTTAAAGAATCAACCTTCAACCTTCTGATTCGCTTCTTCTTCCTCTTCAAGTCAATTCAACAAAATTCAAATTGATTAACCCATACCTCTCTCATCCCATACATCACACACTTAACACATAAATCAACACACTTCATTTCATTTCAACTCAACTCAAAGAAAACCAATCAAAGTCAATCAAGATGTTAAGATTTCCAACTACGATTCCAATCAGACCATTAGAATTAGAAGAATTCAAACAATCTATCTTATCATCTCAATCTTCTAAATCTAATCAACCTCAATCAAATCAATCTCAAAAACCGTTAACTTTACCTTTACTTGATCAACAAATTCAATCTAAATCAAAATCTGAAAGAATCGGTTTATCTAAATAATCATTTTCATACAAGTTGGTTCATTTCGATTTTGATTTAATGTTTTCTTTGTCTTTGGATTGAGAATCTAATGACTTGCTTTTTTTTGGGGGGTTCTGATAAGAATTGAGTTCATCTAGTTGATCTATCCTTCAACTCTTTCTCTTCAAAACTCGTATACAGGATCTACTATCAATTCGTCCAATCTTATCTCTTTTAATCGATCTACATAACCAACTAGGAACCCAACAAACTTATCACATCTCAAGACCCTACATTCCAAGCCTCAACCAATCCTTCGATCTTCATTAAACCAAAAACTGGTCCAGACCCAAGAGCCTTTAACTTGCTCACCGATCACCCCTTTATTTTCTTTCGATCAGTATGGATCATTTATTAAACATCATTTCTTCAACACTGAGTAAACGATAAACAAATCCAAAGCGAAATCACGAAGATCATCACTTTTTGAACCCTATCTTCGGGTCTCTTATTTCACAAACAATCAATCAAAGTCATGATAAACTATAACCATCATGAATCTTCCAATGTGTTTTTGAAAAATTAAAGACCTGTGTAGAAAATGTAATAAGGAATTGGTTACTCTTGATTAAGGTTTTTTGGGGACTTGTTTGAGAAAGATGAATTGGTGAGCTTACTGAAAAATCAATGGTTTTGAGTTACTTTAAATGTTTCTTTTGAACTTGGGTTTTTACCTACCTACCAATTTCATAGATAGAGTGAAAGTCAAGACATTTGTGTAGAATAAATCATCTTGGTAATTTGTAGCTTGCAAAAAATCTGGTCAGGCGGTATGTATAGTGGATCTGATCCACACATAGTTTTGCACAATTTTCCCTGATGCAGAAATAGAATCATATGTACAAGCGACTGCAGTCACGACACAGACTCAGTGATGGCTCATTGCAGATGTGGATGTGCGTGCAGTGTGCGCTTCGTGACTTTGATCAACACATTTCTCATGATGTGATTGTGACTCTATTTCTGCCCCAGTGTTTATTGGTGAAGGTAGAATCCAAAGAGGTAAGTATCTTGAAGTGTGGATCCGATCCCATACGCGCTGACGTGAATATCTTTACGCGTTCAGACTCCATCATGATCGCGTCTTAAGTAAGAGTAGAAGTGATAAGTTCTCTTTACAGTGCCGCGACTGTTTTGCGCACGATCCACATCATGTGGCGTATTAACTCCTGAGTCCTGGAGTACTTGATCTCATGACTGCCGAATCCTTGATGCACGTAGCACAGCCACTTGGAAAGAGACACAGCTACATATGCATATATACATCACTTCTTGTATTTTCAGCCAAACAAATCATCACTGCCAATTACATACATACACAGCGTAAGGAACGCTTGGCGAGGCGTTGATACGGTCTCATGAATCAATCTTTCTAGTTGATCAAGTTTCAGACCAGTTCAGAGCGTTTTCTTCATCAAGAAAATGAACCATTACTTACCCTCGATCTGTTCTTTTAATGCACTCAAATCAGATCTAGAAAAAGAAGAGATTGTGATGAAGCAGAAAGTAAGCGAAATGTGGAATCTAGAAAGATAACGCGTTTCATTGGAATCCAGTCAGGATCCAAAAGTCTATCCTCATGAAATCGTCAACCTATACATCTACATCTTCCCACGACGTGATTTTTCAGACAAATCTTCACTTCCGGTAGAAGAACGCTCGTCCGTCGTAGGAAACACGTGGAAAGACGCGCCGAGCTCGAGAGCGAATAGTCACCGAAGAGTTAGTGGAATTCTACTCTTCGTTCTGATTTCAACTTAAAATCTGCCAATCTGTCTTTGATGAAAAACCTCTAGAACATGTCACATGGTCACGCACTTTAACGGGCCTATGTACACACGCGCTTACTCAACGGCATTTTAAAGGCAAGGTCTGTGCGTCATTCAGGCGATGATCTAAACTTTATTAACAAGATAGTCTGATTCTATACACACGCTTTGCGGTACCTTGACTGTTTTGACATACATACAACCAGTTTTGACTTGTTTTGACCTTAAAATTCACAACACTTAAAATCACTTTGACCTCGACTATATAATCCCTTCGTTTCCGTTTCTCGCCGACCTTTGTTCGTCTCACTTTTCATCAATTTAATAACCTATATAGTATAACCATAATCTTACCACTTCACTTCACTTCTACTCATCCTCACTCATCAACTAATTTTTTGACCCGTTCACAAACAAATCAATAGTCATTCCAAGATGTTTTCTTCAGCTGCTGCACTTTCCGCTTTCCTCCTCTTGCCTGCCGTCTTAGGTCAAAACCTTACGACCGACTCCTCTACCACCAGTAACACTACTACTACTACTACGTCTGGCACTCCTCCTTCCACCGCTACTGGAAGTGGAACGCCCTTTACGGTTCCAACTGTCACTGGTACGACTTGTGGTACGGCTCAACAAAACTTCAACCAGTGTGTGGTGAGTAGGATCTGCTTTTCTTCTTTCACTCGCATCACCTTGCTGATCATTCGCTTTTTGTTGTTCTTCTTCAACAGACCAAGGTCGGCAAGGATATCTCAAACTGTCCTCCTACCGATAACGTTTGTCTTTGCCAGTAAGTGTCGATCGCTTAGTTTCTTGTTACCTTTTGTGACATATGTCTCACGAATGTCTATACTAATGACTATATAACTTTTATTCTTCCGATCAGGACTTACGCTAACATTGCTGCTTGCTACAATGCTTGCCCTGATCTCCAAGACGGTGCTACCTATAAAGATCAATCATTGCAGTACTGTGCCACAGCCAAGATCTCACCACCTTCGGTTTACAACCAAACTTCACCAGTTGTTAACACTACCACCAGTACTACTCCTATGACCACCCCGGCTACCACTACGTCTACCAACACTAGCTCTTCTCCTGTTGCCTCTGCTAGCGCCTTTGCTCGTAGCTCAGATGCTTCGAGCTTTGGATTCTCTTCGGCTCTGTTCGGTATCACTACTGGTCTTTGTACTATTCTCTTTGTCTAAGAGATGATGGATCTGTTATCGTTCTTTTTCAAAGGCTTGATGATTCCCTTTTTGGAGGATTGTTCTTTTTGCGGTTTATTCATTCGTTTTATCTTTAATGATTTCAACTCTGAAGAATCTCTCAAGTTGGAATTTGGATTTGGCTCTCTTTCTTTGCTTTTCATTCTTGTGATTCTTTTTTTTTGCAACATATGGAAATCCTGCAATTATGTTTAAGATTATGATATTTTTTTATGTTCCCTTAGTATATGCCTCGTGAACTTTATTTATGCAATAATCTTTAAACTCGTTGATTTCCTTCTTTTTCGATTTGTTGAGGTTTGGATAAGTTGCTCTTGGGAATTCCAGCGTTTGATTTTGGTTTGCTCGAACATCTCCAGCGTTTGATTTTGGTTTGCTCGAACGTCTTGATACTCTTAGAGCCCAGCAAGCGAGTGTCCTGGCAGTGGCAACAGAAAACGCAACCAAACTATTGTGACATCGCTATTGTTTACCAGAAGACCAAAAATTGTCTTGGGGCCTGAAGTTATCAGCCAAGGCAAAGGAAGTGGCAGTAATTGAGGGAACAGGGCAAAAAACAGGTATAAGTAAGGGCCCGTTCGGTTCGTTTTTGTGAAATATGTGACCTGAAAACGAAATTTCGTTTTGCCCCTATATGAAGGGGCAGATACACCACGGGGGGATCCTGGGCCGAAAAGTGATCTGTGAAAGGTCGGGTCTGAACCTGGCCTCACGTCAGCCAGCGGGTCGATCCCGGATGGCCCCAGGCCAGTCTTGGTGGGAGTCCGAGCCGCAATGATAGATCGACCGGCAGGCGATCTATCAACAATCTGGAGACCGCTTCCGGTCTGCCTGCAGGCTGCAGGCATCTGTCGCCCCACTTCCGTCTCCGGTTGGCCTGCCGGTTGCCGCTTCAAGGCCCCTCGGCCGTATTTTCGAATTCAGAACATTGCAAAAGTCACTCACCTCGCACAAAAGCACAAAAGTCTCTGATCTCCGATCTCCTTTCAGACCACAGTCCACATAAAAAGTCCACCAATCCCCGATCAGACCACTCACACAAAACCCACCACATCAATTTGCAAATGGCTGGAATCATACACGATCGCTGTTTGTCTCCTCTCCCAGTCCTCTCCTTCGTCGTCTTCACCGATCGCAACTCTGACATTTCCATCTTTTTAGATTTTAAATCTCTGTCCTCGGACACCTCTGCGCCGCTTTTTCTGTGTTTAGTTT